TGATGAGGATTTTCCTCCACCCCGTTTTGGAACAGTAAAGCTACTGTGCTGCTTTGCTTTCCACAGCACCGCTGCCTAGAAACAGCCCTGCACATTTTGGGCAAAACGCAGCCCGGTGAAGCTGGGGACAACACACCCAAAAACTTCAGGGGGGACAGGAGCTAGCCAAGAAAGGCGTTAGAGAATGGGGGTGCAAAGGAGGGAAAACAACTCCAAGAGTGCTTAAAGTCCTTGATAAAGGACAGAGTAGAGATTTTGGAAAAAAATAAACGTATGTTAGTACAGCCTGAGAGAAGGGACAGCCTCAGATACCAACACTGACTCTGGGCTGCAGGGGACACAGGGGGAACGCAGCCCCACCACACTTGAAAAGCTGTCACATCCCCTTCCCAGCAGTTTTCCCGCTGTAGGCTTGGGGCCAGCTCCTCCAGGAAGGATGCAGCACTTCATGCTCCCAGCTGGCAGATGACAAAAGCTTCAGAGAAAGCTTTCGGGCTCGCCTTCTCCCTCCGGTGCAGACGGGCAGGTCTGGACAGTTCTGCCAAGGACTTTCCAGCCGTGTGCGTCAGCAGGAACAGCACCGGCGATGCCACAAGGTCTCCTGTCCAGCGCCCGAGGTCCTTTGGGTGCTCAACCCTCTGCTCTCAAGCGGTGGTTGCAGCAAAGCACAGCTCCAACCCAATTTTACGGCTGCTGTTCATTGCGTCATGACGCGATTTGAAGTAACAAGTCTTCCCTAACGACCAGGGCTGCAGCGTAACCATGTTAACGTTCAAAGAAGCTGGGAGGGCTTTCTTTAAAAGAGATAAGAAAATATCCAGTAATAGGCAGGCAAAACCAGGGCAAGCTGCACTGCTGATCTGCTTATCTCTGGGTCCTAGGCTGCTTGTGCGCACTTGCCCGGCCACTGTCTTCCAGGATAAGAAAGGGTTGACTGCAAGAAATAATATTGATTTTAATGCGCAAGTACTTGTTCACATGAACATACATCACTACAGAGAATCCAGATGCGATTTATCAAGCCAGTGTTGCTGGATCCTGTGTTACTGTTAGAAAACAAAACAGCTTTTCCATCCGAGGTGACCACTGTCTGGAGGCAGAATGCCCGGGCTCTGCCGGCTTCTCAGCATGCTGTGGGTTTTGCTGCTGCTGCCCTCCAGACGCTGCCTCCCTCAGCCTCTGCAAAATTACACCAAAAATCAAATTCAGAGCTGCCCTAAGCCCTGCTTTTCTTTGCAAACCAGCAGCCCGTATCTTCAGAGCTACGTCCTCAGCATTGAACCCCAGCCCTGTGGGATTCACCACCAGTCCTGGGAAACTGGAGTGTCCTATGGAGAGAAAATAAACCTTCCTCCAATTTCTCAGGAGCTGCCATGCAACCGTGCCAGATACACCAGGAAATGATGTGGTTCCTTTCTGCCAACACAGCCATGCCATTTGCACCATGGATCTTTCCTGCTGCCTCAAAAGTGCTTCCCCAGGGGTCCTGGTGCTGCTGACCCCTCCCCAGTTCCCCCTGGAGCTCAGCACAGCCCCCAGCAAGCAAAACCACAGCAAACGTGATTCCCAGCAGCCAGCACAGTCCTCCGGCTGACAGAGCCACAGGGAGGGTGTGATGGTGTTTGGAAATTACACGTTCACCTTTGATCAGAAACTCTGTTCTTCCTCCATCCAGACTGACCAGATGAAGAGATTCTGCCAAGCATCTGGGTATGAGAAAAACCACCAAACCCAGTGGGAAGTTCCTAATGAGTGGCTGTGCTAACAACAGATGCACCGATCTATTTGCAGTCCAGCCACACGGTCACGCCTGACTGTGGCCAAAGTCTGCGTCACAACAGAAATCCCACTTACTTCAGTTGTTCCCTCCCACGTATGGGGGGAGAGATCTCGTCTGCGCTGCATGGGAAAGTTTTACACTCTAATTGTTTATTCTGCCCACAAACAGTCAGTCGTCCTGGCTCCTTACTTGTTTCTCCACCTGTGTATCCAAATGTCTTGATGAAGCAAGTTTGATAAACAGGATGAGATGCCGATTATCCTATCAAATTCATTCAGCCCTCTGCATCTCCAACACCCCTGAAATCCAGACAGGCCACGTCAGTCTTGAGACATCCCGTCAGACCACGCAGTAACTCCTCCTTTCTGTTTTCCCCCGCATGTTTTCTCCCCATTCTCATTTCCCTACTGAACTTTCTAGTCAAAAGGTATTTACTGACCACAGTTTGAAAACAAAACCATTCTCGTTCTCTGTCTTGGTAACTCATTATGTCAAGGGTTCGTGGAGAAAGAGCATGGGATGGAAGAAGCCCAGAGGGCTGGAAGCCCTTCACTCCCCAGCTCCCTGTCCTCCCTCAGCACACAGGCCTGGCTGGAGGGAGCCTCCTTTGGTAAAACAGAATTAACATCAAATTTCATACATCTTCACTAAGAGACATACAAACGAGCTCAAATATATTCAAATATATTTCAGACAAATGCATTTATTTAAAAAAAAAAAAAATCTCCTTGAGTTGATTTGCAAACTGTATTTTGTTGAAGGCAGCGTAAAGAGAGGACATGGCTTGGAGAGCATCCTTTGGCGTGAGGGGGAAGATGCTAATCCACGCCTCCGCACGCGGGGCTTTCCTGGAGCTCAGCCTCACGGTGGAGTCCAGGGCGGTGATCCGCAGCCGTTACAAACGGCAGTTGCTGGCCGGGCACACAAACCAACAAAATCCCCCCGGCCCTGCCCCAGGAGGCCGTTCCCTCCCAGCACCGGGTCACCCCGCTCTCGGGGAGGCAGGTCCCGGAGCAGGGATCCACTCCCAGCGAGGAGGGAGCTCCGGACGCGCTCCCAGCCACGACTAAGGGCTGGATCCAACAGGTCACTGGGGAAAAGGAGAGATCCAGGGGCTGTGTCACCGAGCGCTCGCTTTGGGCCAAACTAAAAACAGACCTAATACACCATTGCTGGAGCTGCCGTCCCTACTGTAGGAAAAAAAAACAAAACAAAACAATCTATTCAGTTTTTCCTGTCGAGGGAAAGGTCACTCCCACGGGCTTCTCTGGGCACAGCCAAGGTGCATTTTGCTCTTGGAGGAGCTGACCCAACGGTGCAATCTCCTCCCCGAGAGGAGCCACCCCACACTGAACAGTTCCTCACCGTCACCAGCTCCTGTCTGTTCCTGTCTTGCAGAAGCCTGAGCGTTTATTTTTGCCTATGAGATATGAGAGCCTTTAAAATCTGCATTTATGAAGACTTTCTGGCCTGACAAAACCATTGCAATCCTCTTACCTACCTTCCTGCCTGGCAAAGCCCAGGCCATCTCCCCCAGGGACCCTGCACCACTGCAATGCTGTGGGCCTTCACCAGCAACAGAATCCATCGCCCCTCTGGGCACACTGCAAGGTCTCCCAGTTAAAAATATCCACCTTGGTAGGTGTAGTTGGGCAAACCCAACCTGAAGCCAGACTGTTCTTCTGTTGCCAGAAGTCTTCCACGCAGCAGTTTCCAGATCGCCATGAGGTTGTTAATGAACATTTCTGCATCTCGAGGATACAGCTGACATGGTGTACACGGACACGGCAGCTACCAGCACCAGCACGGTCACAGCTAGCACCAGCAAAAGTCAAGGACCACTTCCTAACCACAAGGATGGAGCTGGGCACATACCACATGCCACCCACAGAGGAGGAATACCCAAGGGTCTGATCTCAGCCAACAAACAGATGCCAATCGATATCGGTGGCTAAAATGAGGCGTAAAAGTGGGAATTCAGCCCAGGAATTCACACAGCAGAAACCTTCATACATGAGAATTAGATGCTGCCGTGCTGCAGGTGAAAGTTGTTTTCAGCGAAACTTTTTTCTAATTCCTGACAAAGTTGCTTTGCTGCCAAACCACCCCAGCAGCTGGTAGCTCCCCAAAACCTTCCATCACCACACGAGGATTTCCACCTCTTCCACGGAGAGCTCCACCAGCCTGCAGACAGCCAGGAGGGGAACCCTTGTCCTGCACTGGGTACAGCCCCTATTTGGGGTGGACCACCCAGTCGCCCTAAAACTGCTCCAAATGGCAAGCAAAATGACCGTCCTCCTTGGCTATGGGAAATTCTACCTGTGTGGCAGTTTTTCTTGCTTTTCTTTTTTTCTTTCTTTCCTAATGCTGAAGCCACATCATCCCAACATCACAGGCCGAGCTCGGGGGACTCTGCTTCGGCCGGCCGTATCGGACACTGCTGCCTGATGAACCATGAGGAACCAACAAGGCTTTGCTCCATTTACGGCAGCGTTCCTTCCCCACTGCCCAGGCTTCCCGTCAGAAATTACATGTTTTCCAAGAGAAGTATAAACATTAAGTGATAGCTCTTTATAGCAGGAAATGCCTCTTTAATCTGAAGTGGAAAATTGTATACGCTTATTTAAATCTATTACAGATAACATTAGCCATTTGTGAGCCTTATAAGGAGCACTCATTTTGCCTGGGTAATTTGCGATTTGTATTAAGAACCGTTAACTACAGAACTAATTCTAATGGAAAGCAAGAAAACCCCAAGCCTTCGTTTTGTTTTGAAGTATTCTAAAAATGTGAATTTGGCAGGACCTTCAAATGTATATTAATTGAACAGAGGTTTAGGAAAATGATACGTGGATGTTAATGAAGTGGCAGGCTTTGCCCAAAGGAGGTTTCAAACCCAGCGCTACTCTTGAGTTGCTAAAACCTCCACTGGGTTGAAAGATCTGATCCAGCTCACAGCCTGGACAAGCCTCACATGGTACAAATGATAATTGACACACATAAATGAGCTGAACACATTTTTTGTGTCAGTGATTTTTTTTTAATATTTATATTAATATTAATATTGCTTTATGGTTTTTAGAAATGCAGAACAATTACACAGACCATGGGGACGCACCAAGAACTGAGCTTAAGGGCACATCTGCTCCAGGGCCAGCCGCAAGCCTCCTGCAGAAGAGCCAAGCAAAGCCAACACGAGCACGAACAGAAGAGGACCTACCTGTTCACGGAGAGCAGTAGCTGGTCCATGCATGCTTTAATCTTGTTTTGTGCTTCTAGGTGTGTCATGTTCTCTGTGCTCTCTCCATTAATTGCCAGGATAATATCTCCTGGGCAGAGGTTTGCCATGGCTGCCTTACTGCCAGGGTTAATCTAGGCAGGGAAAAAATAAAAGGGTTACTTAAAAGAATTCTTGGTTTATAAAAGAAGTCCAGTTTCTTGGAATAAGCAGCAGATAAAGGGAATAGTTATTTCTAGGGAAGACGTGTTTTGCCTATGCCAACAGCATCTACCAGAAGTTGGATGTCAGAGCCAGGGCTCTCGGGACAGCCTCAGTTCCCCAAGGACCATCCTCTACAGCAAGGCTCTTTTAAAGAAGATATTTCTGTCAACCTCAGTCAGTGTGTGACCAGGTCCTCTCTTCATATTTGTCTCTTGCTTGAAATAATGCAATAGTCTCTTTCCAGAGGGATGCTTTACATTCCCCTTTGGCTTGCAGGACTTAAATCATGCTGTGAGAGTCAATCCCTAAACCCAATCCCATGAAACTCTCCTCTTCAGCTAACTACGTCATTAGAAGATGAGCGCAGTCACCCTAAATGCTTCCTGTGGAGAGGCTACACTTGACTTCAGTTTTTCCTGACCATCATTCAAATGACTTGGCTCTTTCTGAACCTGCATGGAATATCATGCAGCTCGTTAAGCCTCCACAACTCCTTCCTTCTGGTTTGGTAGGAATGCCAGAACCTTATAAAACTCATAACTTCTTTCCTGAGGAACTAATGACAGGTCCAGGTACCATCTGTGGTTGGTCATAAGACCAAACCTGCAGCCCATAAAAGTTTCTTGAGAAATTCCCATTTCATTTACATCAGCCCAAATGTGTTTTTAATTTTTGCAATAATATAAAATGATGCAAGGCATAGGCAGGACAGATAAATGTGTCTGTTTAAACTCTTAATAACTACGTGCTTGCCCTCTAATTTCCTCTTCAGTTATTCAGAGCGCTGCTAATGTTCTGCTAACCAACATGGTTTATCAAAGTGAGAAAGTACAGCGAGTCTGACTTTTGGTTATTCATATTTCACCGCATTTATTGTGTGATGGTGCTTTGCTTCTGTTTAGTCTTGGTTTACATGGTTTCAATCCCCCATCTCAGGCGACAGGTCTCTGCTCCATCACACCCTGCTCAGAAGATCCAGGCAACAGGATCACTGCTCCGTCCTCCCCTGGGCATAGCTTATGGTGGTAACCAGACACTAACAGACCGGGTATGGTTCTTCAGACACTTGGAGACCAAGCAGTGGGCACCGTGGAGCAGGTAGCCACAAGCCCCCCGACCACAGCAGGTCATCATTAAACAGGCAGTCTTTTGGAAAGGGAGGCATGCACGCGCCCCCGCTTTCATCTGCGTTTGTTTTCTCCAGTTCTGTTTTCACAAGGAATTTGAAGAGGATTTAGTCTCACCACCACAGCCCTTTGTGCATCACCCTGGGGCTGCTCGCAGGACGGAGGCTGGTGAAACAGCCAGCAAAAAGCACCCAGCGTGACACGGGCCTGCTGCACCGCTCCCTGCGTGACCACAGCCACTGATAACACCGAAACAGGAACCCCAAAGGTGTTTGAGGGGCTCCAAACCACTTCTAAGTGGATCTGGCAGCCCGGATTAAGGCTTTTGTTGCGTTGTCAGAGTAAATCAGCATTTGCCATTTGCTCTTCAATAGTTTCAGCCAGGCTGTTTTGCTCTAAAAACAAAACTGCCAGGCCAAGTCCTTCCCTGCTCGCAGGCTCAGCTCAGAGCAAGCAGGAGGATTTCTGAACGCAGCACACATCAGCTGTAAAGCTGACACAGGACACTGCAACCCAGGATAGGTTTATTTTTTTCCCTGGCACACATCTGTCCTGTTGTTTTTTTTTTTTTTTTTAAACTTCTATAAGAAGGCATGGCATTCCTAGAGCATTAGGGTCCTCCTACAGCCACAGAAGCTGCTGGACTCACCAGAAAGTCAACCAGAAGCTCAACCAGCACCTCCAAGGAAGCATCTCCATGCACTTGCCTGTTGTTGTCTCCTTCCCTCGGTGTCTGCCTGCAGGCTTTTGGACTAACAGACCTTCAGTTTGACCCAGGACAGCTGTATTTTGTTCTTGCCTATTCAATGCTGTCTAGATGTCCAATGGGTTTTTCTCCTTGCACTGATCTTAACCAGATTGTAGCTTGCTTAGAGAATAAGCTGTTCATAAATGGGGCTCTTAGCTGTTTCCTATTTTTAGATTCTGGTTTATTTCAAGTTATTTTGGCAGTATCTTCTAGCATTTTATGCTAGCCATGGAGATGACCGAGGGCTTGAAATGGAGCTGCACTCCAAGAACTCATTAATTTGAGATACTACATCGGTGTCACAGCAGCTTTGGAATCAGTAAAGTCTGTCAAGTCCAAAGTTTGTGTTTTAGTGAATGTTTAAAATACTTCAAACCAAGTTCTCCCAACTTGCAGCTGTGCAAAGCTGCTGACACCAAACATGCCACAGAAAGCCCTATGAGCCTGGTTACGGGTCAGAGCTGCATGTGAATCCTCATGCAAGCGTCCTACCCACTTTGCTCCATGCAGACAGACTATTGCAAACCCAGGATCTCTGTAGGAACAAGGATGAAATTTTAAGTATAGTAATTTTTGTAGTAGAGTCTATGCTTGGAGCAAAACATCCAAAAAAGATGACCCTCTATTGTCACATGGAAAGGAACAAATACACAAGGGAAGAACAGGAGGGACCGGGGGGGCTTGTTCAGGTACTCATAGAGCTACAAGCTACCAGAACCCACACCCAGCAGCAATCAGCTCAACCCAGAATGTTCTTTAACCAGCCTCCTTCCTTACAAAGGCCAGCTACTGCCCAATGAGCTGCTGAGCATCTACGAGTATAAACAAGCACGTAGAAAACCCAAACGTGTTTTTCTTCAAGTAATAAACCTTGTTTTGCATATTAGTCCATTCTCCAGGGCTATGGCTAAATGATGTAACTACGGCTGGGTGTACTGCCAGGGGGCATAAGGTGTCTCCAGGGCAGGGATGCTACAGCCCAACACTGCACAGAGGTTTTGGGATGGAGCTTTTAGCAGAAGCTCTCACCGATGCCCCCCTCCAGAGGGGACTCAGGTCCGCCGTGAGCAACACGCACACAAATTTGAGAGTAACTGGATACCTTACGAAGTTAAAAACACTGCAAAGAAAACCTGCACAGGGTCACTGGAGTTCTCGAAAGGGGCCTCCAAAGGAACTGAGCTTTGAGAACAGGATAGGCTTAAGAAAACCAGTGATAAGGTTTTTATTTGCTTGTTTTTTGAAGAAGTCAATGTTGAACAGAGACCAAGACAAGATCAGTGGATATGTAACTTGGGGCGGTGTAAGTGGCCTCCCCAGGACCAGGACAGGTTGCATCTCCCCACCACCATGCTGCCTGTCGATGGGTGACACAGGTACCCAAAAGCAGAGTCCCCGGGGCAGTGGGGCCAAACACGAGCTCTGTCCCACTGCGCCCTGCGTGTGCCATGCCTCGTCTTGCCCGCCCTGGGCGCCTGCCAGGATTTGGGCTGTTTGTCTGCTTTTTCCTCCAACCCAGAACTCGAGAAGGGCAATGACACACTAGCAAGGAGCCAGCCCAGTCCCTCACACCCTCCTAACCCCCGGGCCACAGGGCCCCACACGGGTGCTGAGATTTCAGGGCCGGAGCAAAGTGCTGGTGGAGAATTACACGGGTGGACGAGGCAGTCTGAGCCCTTGTGCTGTTGGCAGCTCACGGGGTCCTGCTCCCCACAGAGTTTGCTTGTGCCATGGGGCGACAGCGGCCTCAATACATGTTCAGAGCAGTCTAGTGTATGGCACTGAGAGCCAAACCCACAGCAAGCACCGCAGGCTTAAAAGAAATGTAAATATTTTTATTAAAGTTCCCCTAAAGGTCTGTCTTTTTCAACTAGACGAGAATCCTGCCTCATTTGGAAGCTCTGAGCTCCCAAAGCCACAACTTTATACAGCAATGAAGCAGCACGGATGCGAACTCCCAGCTACCAGTTAACTTACACTGCTGGTTACTGCCCTGCAATTGAAGACAGCTTCCCACCAACATCAACCCAAAGTCAGTTGATGGAGACTTGGGGTGACGTTGCACAAGACAGCCTAGTCAACCCCACAGCTTGCCCACGAGTGGGGAAAGGACCTTCTCTTTGCACCTTCCCGCTCCTGGGTGCCACCCAGCCTCTTCTGTCATGCCAGCCCTGGTGCTCAGCAGGATTTTAAGCGCAGGCTGGGTTGCAATCCAGCAGAGCTGATCAGTTTTCTGAGAGTGAATCAAAGCAACTCAGAGTAATGGGGGTCCAGTGTGCTGGACCCATCATCTGGGACCAGAGGAGGGATGGAGTTAGCTGGTGGCAAGCTCTTCACGAGATGATTAAGCAGATCCCACAGTGCTATATGTGGAATACCCACCACCCATCGCCTAAACCACTGCTGCCTCTTCAGCAGGAAAGAGGTGAGCTCAAAATACAAGCAGGACCAGTCAGTGCTCCGGGGAGGTCACTGGCACTCGTGTTTTCACAGCTCCTTTCATGCCCATAGAAGCACATTCGTGTGTACTCTGCCCGAGGCGACCACGCACGCACAGCACAGCATCTGCTCCGGGAACGCAGCGTAAACGCGTGTTGTTCTTACTGCTCTCCCAAAATTAAATAAAGCCAAGAGAGAACAGTGTTCTGCATTTAACCCCTCCACAAAAACAAGCAGCTGTTTTCTCCTTTCTCTCAAAAAAAAAAAAATTGCAGATGCCAAGGAGTATTTATAAACAGAAAATACTAAAAAAAAAAAAAAAAAAAAAACACAAAACCCATGCACAGCTAACACTATTGTAACAGAAGGAACATGGAAGTTTGCAGAGCGTGTGCCCCCAATAAGTAGTTCCAGGCTCTCAAGAGCCCAGAGAGCAGTGTCTCCCTGCACAGCATGTCTCCTGCAGGGACTCACTCCAGTAGGAAGCCAAAACGTAGTTTTTCCCCCCTTTTCTAAAAAGTATATCATTCTCCTTAACCCCCTCAGGACAAGTCTCATTTATGATGCCTTTGTATGTCCTCCATATAGCACTGTGCTTCAAAAAATACTAGAGGTC